TTCTGCTCAAAGAAGAAAATCAAGAACCACTAAACATAGTTTGAGAAAATAAGAAACTCAGCCTCTCAAGCTATTATAAAGCAAGTCACACAAGCCATTGAAATGATAATACACTGTTCATACCTTTAAAGAGTTTCTCTTTCCCAAAGACAAATAAAATACATATCGAAATTCCCAGGGAAAAAAGTCACCGATTGGAGTGAGATCTAAGAACGTGACAAGGCTAAGGTTTTCAAACGTTTGGTTACAATAGGAAAACTATCCATCATTTATTAGAAACATGCATCATATGCAGTTTGCAAATCACGAATTATACTGCTATACTTCATTTTGAAGCAGATCATAGCTGTAGAGCGTTATTGAGAGGGAAAGAAGGAGAGAAAAGATGAGCAAAGGCTACCAAGACTCCTGATCATCCAAGAATCACTCATGGTCATCCAAGAATCCGGAAAGTCGCTCTAGCTCACTTTTGATGTTGGTGTTAAGTATCAGAATAGGATTCGTTTTCCGATGATTACCGACTACCGTACCCACATCTCCAGCATACCCCATTCACATATGTGTCACATGAGTAGTCTGCCGCAACTTATTGTATGGACCAAACACGCATTCAATCACCTCTGCAATACTTGATGCAACCGATGCATTGCATCCATCAGTACAGGCAACTTCATCCTTTCAACAAAGATCAATGTCTAGGCATTAAGAGAGAAGGAAGTCTTTCTCAATGGATGATAAATGATTCTTTTATTGTGAGCATCTCACAGAGGCTGTGAGATCTAAAAACTGTGGATAGCCACGTGTTTTGTATGATTTCAAAGGAAGTCGTAAATAATACTGACTATATGTCTGTCGGAAAAACTGGTTTCACTCGATTTTTACACTTCACTTACTACATTCATGGTTTCAAATTAAAAACTTCTTCATGCGAAGAAAAAACTATCTCAAGGCGTGAAATACCAGCAATAGTAATTGTCGACCAGAAAAATTGTGACTGTACCGATCACTTTTAACAAAAGTCGTGATTGATGCTTTGCGTTTGAAGTGACCTAGAGATGTGATGACGATTGAAACATTGATAGCTAAGTCAGCAAATACAAAAATCCGCTTGATCTGAAAGAAAGAGAAGGCTGTCTGTCGGTCATGTAAATGTATGCTGTTTGGAAATCAGTTTTGTATTTGCAATATAGTTTATTTGTTGATGCTCATGTAATGTTTTCTATATGCTATAGCAATTTAAATTCCCTTTTATTCGCTTACCTGTTATCTACTTATGCTAGATTACAAATCAAGTTGTTTACAAGGCTTTGTGCTAGGAAACAACATACTGAATCAATTAATCCTATCAACTTAGCTGTGATTAATAAGAATGCAATGTCTAGGAATTGAGATGAAATATAAATGGTATATGGTTGTGGAGGATTTTAGTCAGCAAATACAAAACTCCGACTGATCTGAAAGAAGAGAACGCTATCTGTCTTTCATGTAAATGTAGGTTGCTTGGAAATCAGTCTGGATTTGTAACATAGTTTTCCTTGTTCATGCTCGTGCAATGTTTTCTTCAAATGCAACTTCTGTATATCATAGTATTTTAAATTCCCTTTCATTCGCTTCCCTGTTATCTAATTATGCGAGATTGCAAGATAAGTTGTTTACAAGGCTTTGTGCTAACCAGATATTGAATCAGTTAATTCTACCAATTCAACTGTTATCGAAAAGAATGCAATGTCTAGGAAACGAAATAAAATGTAAAGGACATATGGTTAGGGAGGATTTTAGAATACACAGGATATGCAGCTATATAAGGAAGATTTGGAGATATCATGAATGTATATTATGGAGAATTGAATTGCAAAATTTTGCCGTGGCGGAATCAACCTCGAGGATGAGTGAAGTCAAATATGTTATTGCACTATTGACGACAAATATTGAAGATTTTGGCTGAAACAAATGCAAGCACTTATATGCAGGCCTCTTTTTTAATTAGAGAGAAACTCAGTGGAACTATATAATTAGTTTAGAAACACTGTAATCTGGCAATGTATTTCGAACCTTTCATGAGATCTGTTAAGAGCGCTTATACAGTGCAAGACACGTTTCGGCTTCACAGCCTCGTCAGTTTCACGGTGTCTTTTCTTTCAATCAGTTCGTCGTGGATTCACCACTACACAAAGTTTTAGAACATTCAAATACTTGCAAATTGAGCAAGCTCGATAAATAAATGCTGAAAATTAAAAACCAGTCATGTAAATCGCCGTTATGAGGTATAGTAGGCTCTTCATCTGCGTAGCAAAAACGATTCTCAGTTGCAATATCTTTAATAACAGGAATAGATCACTTTAATAATTGAAAGCGATTAGCTTAGTTGATGAACCACGGAAAAACCTTGTAGTGCTTTTCAAAGTGGAAATTTTTTATATAAAGATTAGATAAACCTGTTCTATGGTGGAAGGATGTGCACGCTGTAGTGAATGTTAAACTTTGTTCCAATCGAAGAAAGTTTAAGTTGCGTACAGAACAAAGATTGAAGCATGCCAATGATTTCTAAAATGGCAGCGTACCTGTCATGTGTATGCTATGTAACAATTATATAAAACATAGATGAGACAGACTCAACGAAGTCCACGCACATGTATGCTTGGCTAAATCACAATCTCTAATGCATTCATCCCCTCCCCCCTTCCAGGAATGTGGTGCTTCAATGGTTCTCTGCTGTTAACGGAACGGCTATCAATGAGATTAGCGTAGTATGTAAGTTGGAGAGTTACAGTAACCCGGAGTGTTCTGCAAATACCAAAGATAATCTGCTATTTCTATATGCAGGGTGAGGAAAAAGTTCTGTTAATTTTGCATTTTGTAAATTTTAGCATTGACATGAAGTTTTTTTTATCAATTCTGACAGCTTTATTGTATTCCTCGTGCAGTTTTTGTCTGCTTCCTGGATTAATGAGTTATCTATTTTCAGGCGTACTTAAGATATGGATCGTAAAATTGAACTTATCGCAGCAGCTGGGTAACTCAAGACGGGAATGAAAGCGGCCAACATGGTTAAATTCTACGTTTTCAACAAGCAAGTTTTACAAAACCATAAAATATTTTCAAGAGATTGAAGGCTTAAGGGCAGCCTTCGAAAAGTTGTCCAACCAACCTGTCTTTTCGGGAAAACATTCAGAAGAGCCGTTGCCAAATTCATCGAAATGCGGAGTGTGATGCGAAAAATGGCTCGGGAAGCCGGGATCAGAGATTGCAGTGTCCTAAACATTGTCAAAAATAAGCTGAAGCTGTGCAATTGCAAGATCGCTTGTTCTGGATAAAAAGATTAAAGAAAAAAGGCATTCAAATACTCACCAAATGGTTTGTTTGATGGCTGGTGCTCACTTGGCAAAGGTGCTTTTCACGATGAGAAAATATTCAATTAGAAGCACCCCACAGTCGCCGAAATCGACCTCAACTTATCAAGAAGCGTCAGCAAAAGTCCGCAGTAGCATAGGCCGCAGTCATTTTCCGGCCACTACCATGATCTGGGCCCTCATTTGCGTCACCAAAAAGACGCTGTTCGTCTCCATCAACAGAAACGTGAAAATCAACGCCTCCAGCCATCCAGCATCGAATTTTACGGCGAAATTCTGGAGCCTAAGAGTACTCGATACCTTGGAGCTAACAGACTAACATTCAGCAGGACTGAGCTCCTGCGCATTCCGTCCGCTCAACGATTGCCATCTATAAGAGCTGGCTCCAGTCTTATGAGGCATGGCCATTTGGTCGTGAAACTTGTCAGATCTCAACCCAGTCGATTACTCTGTGTGGTCCATACTGGTGGCAAAAGTCTAGGCTACTCGCAACACTACCGTAGACGCTTCTATGAGGACTTTGAAACGCTGCTGGGACGAAATTATGGTGGGAACGTGCGCGAACATCGTTGGAAATTTTCGCAAAAGACTTCGTTAATGCATCAAGGCCAAATGAGGCAATTGTAAGGAAATGTTATAGCCTTTTTTGTTTATTGTTATAGTTGCCAATCTAATAAACGTAACTCTTCCTTCAACTGAGGGTATTTATTTGTTTATACAGCATTTATTACTGCTGAAATAGTGAAAAAATTGGCAAAATTTTTCTACCACCTTACATGTATATCACATATTATTGTACATATTATATCACTGTATATATAAATATATTGCATATATTGCATACATTATATATAATACAAATTATATACATATTATAGATATTACAAATATTGTATATATATTTTTCATTTCGAGTGTTTTCTTAAGACCACAGCTCAAATTTCAATATGCCTGATAATCATTATTTGAGCCACGCAGGTCAGTGGTCTGTCAATGAGGGCTGACTTATAGAGCCCGATACACGTGTTTCGATCTTGCGATCTCGTCAGTCGGGCAGTTGCCCTTTCTCGTCTTTTGCTAATCTCTGTGGGTGCTCCAGTCCCCACAATAAGAGTTAGCGACGACGTACTTTACACTCTATGTCCAGTGAAGAACTCACCAAACACAGAGTGTTTACACTCGAATGCTCGTGGCTAGTATATTTAATATAACATATCTTTCATTTCAAGTGTTTTCTTAAGACCACGGCTCAAATTTCAATATGCCTGATAATCGTTATATATATATTTATATATATATATATATATTACATATATTATATATTACACTATTGTATTATATATTATATGGCAATATATATTATATTATATACTAACACTTCTACTCTATATATAAAACATATATAATCATATATAATGTTTATATATAAGCTCTCTCAAAGCTCTCGGCTTTGATCAATCCCTGAGAGATGCGCCATGCATTCGTCTTGAATTTTTAACTTTGTTTGAAGTGATTGAATGCATGTATATATATATATATATATATATATTTATATATATATAGTTAAGATTTCTAGTGTTTTAACTGCATTTTTCTCAGTGTTGTGAAGTTTCATATATACCTAAGAGAAATGAGTGGCGAGCAAAAATGCGCCTCAGGCTGGAATCGAACCCGAGTTTCATCCATACCAGGGACGAGTGCCACCACTATACCACCGAGGTACATTTGTGCCACCACTCATTCTTCAACAGCTCTACGTTAGCTATCAGCCCCAACCTTAAACAGTTTTGGTAGGGTGAGATGAAGAATGTTAATGAAAACGATTTGATGTAAGAGTGGTGGCGCAAATGTACCGTGGTGGTGTTATGGTAGCACGCTTCGCCAATATGAATGAAATGCGGACTCGACTCCTGACTGCGGTGGTATTTTTGGTCATCACCCAATTCTCATATGTTTATCGGAAACATCGTACCACTGCGAAAAATACAGTCAAACATTAGGAATTAAGAGTATCATCTATTGGCACAGCTGAATTGGCAAAAGCTTTGAAATGGGATAGAAATAGTGTCTGAGCGATATCAAATTAGTCCGTTTCTTCCGCATCATGGCCGCTCAACAAAGCCTTTACCACAACTTTCTGCTTTACAAGTACGAATTGGGACGCGATGCGCAGACCGCCTTCAAGAACATTAACCATTCAAAGGCTCAAGGATTCATCCGAGCCATTGAAGAAGATACGACTTTGACTATCGGGGAATTGGCCGACGATTTTGAGTGTGGTCATGAGACAATCAGCTGAATATTAAAATACTGAAATTAGTGTTCACTGCTGTGCTGCCAAAACTTATGAGAAGACCTAATATGTATATGAGTGTATGCGTGCGTGTATATATATATATATATATATATACATATATATATATATATATATACATAGTGCTTATACATATTCGAATACATGTATGCACATACAAGTTTGCATGTCCTTTTATATACATATGTATGCATATATATACATATATGTATGTATATTTATATATGCTTACATATATAATTTTCGGTACTATCCGTTAGCAGCACCCTATTTCAACTCTCTGCAAATCCTGCTTTGACAGGCTCAAAAATTCGTTGAATAGCTCAGATCTTGAAGATTTCAATGGGGTTTTGCTTTTAAAAAGAATATTTTTATGCGCTATAACAGCGCAAATAAAATTATACTTCACACTTGGCGCATTCTCGCGCGTATTTCTCTTCCAGCGCTGTGCTTATTTTCTGAAAAACCGTTTCACTGAAAACTCTATATTTCTAATGTATTGGCTGCATTTTTTGCAGTGGCACGATGTTTCCAATACACTTAAGAAAATTGAGTGATGAGCAAAAGCACGGCCTCAAGAGGGAACAAAGCCCGCGTTCCGTCCTATCCGGGGACGTCTGCTCTGCCACTCAACAACCGGGTCACATTTGCTGCACCACTCATTCTTCAACATCTCTATATTAGCTACCAGCCACCAACATTTAACAGATTTGTTCGGGTAAGCAATTTCGCAGAAATGGTTTTTGCTCACCACTTGATTTTCAGGTGTATTGGAAAGAACGTAACATTGCGAAAAATGCTGTCAAAGTACTAGAAATTTCGATAATTAGTTGTAACAATGGTTGTCGCCTCAACTGGGCTTATAAAACGAAATCATATACCCAACCAAGCCTGTTAAAGGTTGATGGCTGATAGCTAACATAGAGTTGTTGATAAATGAGTGATGATTCAAATGTGTTTCGGTGATGTAATGGTAGCCCGAGTTCCCGGATCGGATGAAAGGCAAGTTCGATTCCCGCCTGAGGACCTGTTTTTGCTCACTCACCACTCAATTCTCTTAGCCGTTTCACTAAATTAAATTAGAGAAAATATGATTAAGCTTCACATACGGAGCGCACTTTTTTATTGGCTAGCATATGTACTCGCCGTGGATTCCGTGCAGTGATCGTTTGATCGCGTTGGCGCAGTACACATGTGAAGTGCAATTCTTGTTATTCAATTTGGAATTTTTTTTTTCGTTTTCGAGGAAACTCTAGATGAAATGTTGATATTGCAAGAGCAATAATTTATTAAGAGCTTTCATCAAAGCCGATCCTCTTAAGACTACACAAGATGCTACAGAACAACTTGACTTCGATCATTTCATGGTTATTGGGCATTTAAAACATACTGGAAAGGCGCAAACGTCTGGTGCAAAAGTAATTGCACTTTGATTACTGTCATCCAACAGCCACATGTTGCAAACGAGAAAGTTGAACGAATCAAGCTGCAAAGTATTGCTTCATCCTCCATATTAGCTGGGCCCCTCGCTCACCAAATAGCTCCTTTTCAAGCATCTCGACAACTTCTTGTAAGGAAAACGCTTTACAACCAGCAGAATGCAGGAAATAGTGTTCAAGAGTTGGTTGAATTCCAGGACATCAGTTTTTATGCCTCAATAGTAAACAAACTTTTTCCTTTTTGACAAATATGTATTAGCTGTAATAACTCTTGACTTGGTTAAGCGACCTGTTTAGGCCTTGTTATAAGATTCGCTTCCTGATTCATTATCCCAGAAATCTTTGAACATTTCGCCGCTGCTTGCGATCTTTGCTGAGTTTGTCTTCTTCGTGAAGTCATAGAGTACCGATCCGACTTGATTCTTCTTGCCGCTGAGAAGCTAAGACCTTTTGATATGACTGCAAATAAATGTTGAATACGCCCCATCTTTTTTATATGGAGCGAGTTGCTCTAATGATGGCGGTACTGCCAAAATGTGCGTAAACGAGTTCGACACGGAACATGACGCATTAACTTTGAAAAGGCTTAAAACATTCTTACAGATCATAGATTCTCACAGATTATGTAGCGTCAATACAATGGTTGTCTCAAAATTTCGTGATGAATGCCTATCTACTTGACATTGTTCTCTTTACGATAATTATCAGGTAATTTATGTCTTCAGAGGTATTACTATTAATCTAGCTTATAGATGTTACCACTTCTCAAAATAAGTCGATTGAGTTTTAGCGATTTCGCCTTCTTCGCAACCGCCTTGTTGTCCAATGAGGAACACTATCCGTATGTGGTTTATATATTGTGACCAGAGGCTGGTTTGATTCTTCAAAAAAGAATATAGCTCAAATAAAGGAGAAATCGCAATACCATCAAGCATCGTATTTCAAACAGAATTGATAATGGCTACTCTGATAACATATCTTGAACAGTTCCTGAGTTTGTTATGACACTTCCACAGTGCTAGACACGTGTCTCGGCATGACAACCTCATCAGTACCACGGTGTCTTTCGGTTCAGCCAATCGTTTGTAGGGAGATATACCTTGTGAATAAAAAGAAAACAAATCATTTACAAAATCATCGCATGTTAGATGATAAAATCCCGCGACATTGCCGTGACCAACAGTCGATTGCTCATGACTGGTAAAATGATTTATACTTTTACATCCAATAGTTTGTAATAACAGCGATAAAAATTTGTACGGCGAGAATTAATTAATAATTGCAAAGTTCGTTGAGATTGCGTTTTTCGAATGACTACAATGTAGGAACTATTTTCCAGAAAACAACATTATTTTTCATTCGTACATTATCCGTGTCAATTCTGATCTTTTCCAAATTGCGATTTGCTAGCTTTTAAGCTATTATGGTGCTTTCCTTCATCTTGTATAGTCAGTGAAGAACCCTGTGTGAGGTATCAGTCTTGAATTATTCCCATATTGCCTTCTTACATATCACATAATCGCTGGAAATCCAATTCATTTTGGACCATAAAATTTCCATGGTTTAAACATCAAAATGCCGTCCAATGTTCTTCGTATGTGTGTCTTAAGGTATGTAAACCATCCCTACTAAAAATGCTTAACATTTCCAGTTTATTTTTCACTTTCCGGTGACTAGCTAGCGACACATGACACCTAATGAGACAACTATCGAATTAGAATGCAGGCAGGTAGTACAATCTTCCGTCTTCTCCATTTTCTTCTTTTTTTTTAAGACAGTTAATCAAAAGCACCGCTTAATCTCAGAACGGACTGAATGTGGTGGAATATCCTGGATATCGAGTTGTTCAAGTGCTCTACACAATTCTCTCAATGGGCTCACTTCCACTATTGCTCTACGTGCAGATTAAATACATTCTTGGTTCTACGTTTCATCGGAGCATTAAGGTAGATTTTTCAAAGTTCTTCGATTTTACCGGGAATGTAGTCGTAGTGCAGAGAAATTGTATCTCATATAGGCCAAACTTAATTCGGAAGACAGTACGGCTGTGGTGGTGTATAACATCTTTAAAGTCTTTGTAAGTTCATCAGAGTAATGGAAAGTATCAAGACTGCTGAATTTGCTTTTTTCATACAATCAGCTGGAAAATGTTCGGCGCTTTGCTTGCAGATTGTTCTGCTATTGTACTACTCCTTGACACTGCTTCATTCAGCGACATACAGCATCATTCAGGTGAAAGTATTATACAAATGGTTTTATCAACCTTTACTATTAATGATTAGTGGACGCGACGTTGTCAGCAATACGATTTGTTTTGCATAACACAAAAAATAGTCATGGATGACGTTTCAGCGGTGTTGCCTTCTTCAAAGCCGCTTTGTTGTTCTACGTCCACATTAGCTAGTGAACCGTAATACAATAAAACGGCTCTGACGAGAATGAAGCCGCTGAAACGTCGGTTACCAGTATTGTCTTGTAGCGTGCAAAATATTAGGTCGTTCCAAAAGTTTTAACGCTACAGAGTTAAACATCAAATTGATTTACCAGAAGTAATTAAAACTGCACGGTTTTGGAATCGTCAAATTGTGTATATTCTTTGGAGCATTTTGATTTACAAATTGCCTATACTTGCTTTGAAATAGAACTTTCCTGGAAACAAAATCGTTTGCTATTCATACACGAATGGCGCATAGGGGAAAATGTCAATGAAGCGACGAGAGAGGTTATTAAGCGGTTCGGTTGCAGAAAGGACGGCTTAGAAGTGGTTCAAAAAGTTCAAAGCTGAAAAGAATAGTCTTAAAGATTAGTTGCGCTCGGGCCGTCTATAGGATATTCCATTATTCTTGCGCGCTGCTTCACCAGCATTATCTCCTACTTTCCATTCGTGCTTGAGTGCTAAGCGCATTTGTTTACAAGACAGCTCAATCTTGCAGCAAATATAGGCAAATTGTGTACCAAAATATTCACA